TTGGCCCCTCGTCTGTCGACCGGGGTCGGATTCCGTGCATCTGGTAGCGAGCGTAGAGAGGCCACTCCCCCGCAAGCGAGCATTTGCTCTGGAGCAAATTTAACCCAGCTGCATCCACACGTGCACATTTGTTCCGGCGTAGCGTCGCAAACGAGCATTTGCTCTGGAGCAAATTTTTAAACCACCTCCCTGAGGTGGATCAAATTTGGTCGGGTATAAGCTCTTTTGTGGAGCTACGTCGGAGCAAATGTGCACGTGTGAACGCTTGACTGGCTTTGCTTCGGTGCAGCATCGGACCAAACGTTGCCGTGTGAACGGGGCTACTGTATGAGGTAAGAATCAACAGCTTTTTATCACATTTACACAACACTATGAATACAAGTAATGAACAAATCTTAAACATGGCAGGGAATGTGTTTCCTTTTAGTTTTGATTTTGAGCAGCAAATTTGAAGTTACATATTGGTGCTCACCAGGAATGCTTAAGCAAAACTGCACAAATTTTCACTTGAAAGAATAGTGAACAATCTTGGGATTTTTTTTTCTGTTAAAGTTTCAAATAGTGTGTAAATTGAATACACTTCATCTTCAGCATGTTTAGTGCCACTTTTGTAAGTGGCCACGCCCCCGTCCAGGCCAGGCCGCCTTCCGCTTTTTTCATCACTAGCCATTGTCATCCCTGTTTAATGTTAGAAAACTACGGCTAGTCACCTCCAAAATTCATATGCATGTCACCATCTATAACCACACCAATCTCTGAAAATATCAAAACAATTGCCTCCAGGTTTTGATTTTGATTGCCCTTAAACGTTTTCCTCATTATGCGACACTCGGCCTCAGTGCTCACCTATGGAGAGGAAGACGGTCATGTCCATAAAATCTTAAACATTGGTGCGATTGTTTTGATATTTTCAGAGATTGATGTGGGCACAAGTAGAGATTTCCTCTGGAATTTTGGTGGCGAATGGCCGTCGTCTAATAACATTAAGCCTCATTAAGTATTTTCTCTTGAATGAACCTCAGTGGGGAGGAAAAACCTTAATGTCCATGAAATCCCAAAAGCTCTGGCAACCATATTGATATTTTCAGAGGTTGGAGTAGGCGTAATTAGTGATGTGCATGTGAATTTTGTGACATTAACACCCACGGTAAGCTTTTATACATTGACCGTTTTAGACTGTCCCATTTGTAGTTAATGCAGTGCCATAGTTGTGTGTTATTCATTCACATCCACCCCGAAAAAAAAAAAAAATCCCCACTCAAATTGACTACTGGATCAGGAAATAAACAGGTCGGAAAATAGATGGACCAAGATAAAAATATTCACAGTGCTTCACATTTTGTGGAAACAGCCTCATTCCAAAATAGAATAAATCAGTTTTTTTCCTTAAAATTATTAACACAACACCCGACAATGACAATGTGAAAGTGTTTTTGAAAATTTTGCTAATTTATTAAATAGACTGGGGAAATAAATTTGTCACATATACCACAGTATTCACAGCCTCTTCCACAAAGCTCAAAATTGAGCTAAGATGTATCATGTTTGGAAGACACCCTACCTCTCTGGCAGAACACAAATTAAATAAAAGGAATTGTCACAACACACAAATCTCTGGAAAGGGACAGAAAAAAATGGTGCTACTTTGAAGCTTCCGATGAGAACACTGGCCTCCATCATCCATAAACGGAAGGAGTTCTGAACCACCAGGACTCTTCCTAGAGCCAGCCGCCTGTATATTGTAAACAACAACAATTCGTCAGGGAGGTGACCATGAATCCGTTGGGCACTCTGTCAGAGCTCCAGTGACCCTCTGTGGAGAGAGGTGGACCTTTCAGAAGGACCGCCATCTCTGCAGCACTCCATCAATCAGGCCTGCCAGGTAAAATGGCCAGACGGAAGCCACTCCAGCGGGGGCACCCAAAGGTCTCTCAAAACCTAAAAAAAAAAAGCAAGATTCTCTAGTCTGATGATAACTGAACTCTTTGGCTTGAATGTCCGGCATAATTTTTAGAGGAAACCAGGCGCCGCTCGTCACCTGACCAATAGTATCCCTACAGTGAATCATGGTGATTAATGGATGGTTTTCAGCTGTAGGAACTGGGATTGAGTCAGGATTGCAGGAAATAGGAATGTATCAAGTGACATCCTGGATGAAAACCTGCTCCACAGTTGTCAGGACCTCAGTCTGGGGCAAAGGTTTACTTTCCAAACCTTAAACACATAGCCCAGACAACTAAGGAGTGGCTTTAGGACAACTGTGTAAATGTCCTTGAGTGGCCACACAGAGTCCAGACTCAAATCCGACCAAGCATCTCTGGGGAGAAAATCAAAATGGCTGTGCACCACTGCTCCCGATCTAACCTGATAGATCTTCACATATGCTGCAAAGAGGAATAGTCAAAACTGCTCAAAGATAAATGTGTCAAGGTTATGGCAGCATATTCCAAAAGACTTGAGACTGTAATTACTGCCAACGGTGCCACGACAAAGTATTTAGCAAAGGCTGTGGATACTTATGTACATGTCATGTGAAGCTGTGCTACGGACATTCGGTTCTCTCTTGTGGAGTCTTATTTGTTGATTTTTGGCTGCTGGGCTTAACTCCCTTTCCCACTCAGTGAAATTGACTTCACTGACTTCCTGTTCTGTGTTTCTCCAAAGAAAACACCCAAGTTTATTTGCTTCAGCCTTGTTTGGACTATTGTGACGCAACACATTGTATTG